TATGGGAAAATGACTCTTGAGGGTTATTAATTTTTGTGTTTGTACTCATTTGATCATTTTTTTTTGTATTCAATATACCATCGAACTTGTTGTTTGCGTTCACCAAAATCCTTTTGGCCGGCTTTTAACCTGTGATAGCCGGTCAAAGGGTTATGGTGAACACAAACAACAAGTTCGATGGTATATTGAGTACAAAAAAGGATAGGGACCAAATGAGAACAAATGCAACAGTTGGTTACCCTTCTGATTCATTATAATTGTTATAAAATTTTCAATACTTTAAAAATCTATTTTTTTAATTGAACGAGTAAGATGATTAATTTTCGGTTCAAAAAAGTTTCTAAATTTTTAATGTTTTTTTTCTTCTTATTTTTCAACACACAAATACGAATGTTCAAAGACTAAAAATATACATAAAAACAAGTTGTATATATTACCCTAAATATATTAAGAAAACGTAGAATCATAAGTTTTACATCAATTCACATAAAAAATATATAATATTGAAACAAAATATAATTTTAGATAAATAGGTACATTTAAAAAAGATTCACAATATTTACCATGAATTTTTATTCAATTTAAGAAAAGTCTAAATAGATGTGAACATCAAAGTTTGTCATACAAATTGCTTCATTTTTGTGTGTTTTTATTCAATTTAACAGCTACAATAGGGATGAAAGTGGGTTCAAACCCGGATTGGATGGACTCGGACCCGAAAAACCTAGAACCGGTTAACGGTATTTTTTAGAACCGAAAACCGGACCGGTATATAGGAACCGGTTCCAGGTACGGTACCGGATAAAGTGGGTCTAGAACCGGAAAACCCGAAAACATCAAAGTGGGTAGGTTGGAACCGGATAAAGTGAGTTTAGAACCGGAAAACCCAAAAAAACCGGAATTTTTTGATAATTACTTACTACTTAGTGTGTTGAACTTTTAAAATTTTCAAATTGATATCCCGACTTCGAGGGACTGTTACTCATTGAATATGAAACCAAAATTAACAAAATTATAGTCTAAAATTATGTACAAACTTTAAAATACACTATGGAAAAACCGTTTGTCAATCCGACTTTAAACGAATGAGATATGTATGTTAACATTTTCACAAAATACAAAGTACAAAAACAAAGAGCTGAAAAGTTGAAAATTTTCAGTTTTGATTTCTCGACTTCTTAGGATTGTAAATCATTGAATATTAAACCAAAAATGACAAAATTATAGTCTAAACTCACGTACAAATTGTAACCTATAAGTTGGAAAAAATCACATGTCAATTCGACTTCAAACGAATTAGATATGTATGTTTTAAAACTTTCACCGAATACAAAAAAAAAAAAAAAAACTAAAAAACTAAAAACTTCCAACTTTGATATCTTGACTTTGGGGGACTGTAAATCAATGAATATAAAACTAAAAATGAAAAATTTATAGTCTAAAATCATGTACAAACTCTAAACTACATGTTGGAAAAAAACCGAATGTCAATCGGAGTTGAAACGAATGAGATATGCATCTTTTAAATGTTTCACAAAAACCGGTTCCGGCCCTAAAAGTAGTTCCGGTTTTTAGGCCCGGTTTACCCGGACCCGATGGACCCAAAACCGGATTACCCGGAACCCGGATAAAGCCAATTTTTAAACCCGGAACCGGAACCGGTTCTATATATTTTGGTTCTAACGGTTCCGGTTCCGGTTCTAAATCTCATCCCTAAGCTACAATCAGTTTTTATTTATTTATTTATTTATTTATTTATTTTTTTAAAACTAACCGGTTCGTTCCAGTCCAGAAATAGACATAAAATCAATGCTAGTTGAAGCGTTCCCTTGACCGGTTCCCGGTCCAACTGGTTCGACCAATCGATTCGAACTGGTTTTTAAAACAATGCAAATTTTATATAGAATATGGATAGAGACATAGAGATCTTAATACAACAACAAAGACAACAATTATGTTAAGCGTGGAACAAAGGGTACAAACAAGCTATGCTTGTAAAATCTTAAGTATGGAACAATAGAAATGTGCAAGTTTTGATGTATTTACAGTACAAATAAAGAATAACTTCATGACTTCTAAATAATAATAGGAAAGTTAATTATGGTTAAGGTAAGAGATTTTGACCAATAACAAGGAAATATGAACAATATAAAATTAGACATATCGGTAACTTTTTAGTAATTAGGAAAAAGAAGGTAAAACATTAAGTTTGAATACAATATAGATGTAATATGGATGAAAATGAAATGATCAAATGAAAGGGTTATTAAGGATAATGAATTTTAAAAAGCTTAATTTCTTGTTGGATATGACTTTTAATTTTAATGCTTATGGTAATGAAATTGAGACTTATTGACTTAACACAATTATCATTGTGTTTAAATTGGAATGGAATGTATATGTTATGATAATTATCATTGAGATTATGATAATAGTGATAAGAATAAGATGACCTATGAAATTGTCAAGAAATAAGAGAAAAATATTATAAGACTATTGTAACATCCCAAAACAAAGGTAAACTTTTTGAAATTTTAATCAGGATTTAGAAACATTTTCATAAAAGTCAAACATCATACAAATATTTGTTTAACAGCGTGGAATAAAAATCAAAGTATCATATCAAACATTTATCAAACATGAAGTCATGCATTTGCTTTGCCCCGATCCTCAAAAGTACCCGAAACATTTAAATCCACAACTGTTAGCCAAAGCTTAGTGAGTTCCCCAAAATACCCGACACCACAATACACATATAATGTATGCACACACAAGTGATAGAATTTTTGGAATGATAGATTCTTAGATGAAAACGTCATTTGAAGATATGAATGATTTGGATGAACACAAAGATGTAAATAAGATCATATTTCATTAGAGGTTCAAGAGAACAATTCTTTACAACAGACTGTGCAGAACTATTATGTATCAAAAATTCTTACCTCTCTACTAACTAATGCTCCTATATATAGGCGTTAAAGAAGCACTAGAAAGGAATCATAAGTCGACAGTTCAAAACTGCAAACCTAAGTTTAACATCCATAAAAATCATGACAAATTTAAACTGTTTAAATGCAACCCAAATCCATAAAGTGTTTACAAAATAGTTTTCAAAACATTTCCGACATCATAGTTTTCCCAAAATCATAGATCATAACAAGAGGATGTGTACGGTCATGCATTCACCTTCCCACGGTCATCCAGGTACCTGAAACATAACCCAAAACTGTAAGCCAACGCTTAGTGAGTTTCCCCAAAGTACCAACACATAACCAAATAACATATATGATAACAACATGCAATCGAAACACAGCTGAATGACTGGATTACCCCTGAGCCTACATCATAAGTCTGGCTTGCCCTCGGGGCCCACATCTTATGTATGTCTTGCTCCCTGACTAGATCAGTCATTAGACTAAACTACCATCAAGCCCTCAGTACGAGTCTGGCATACTATTTGGTCCTTAGATTGTATCTGGAATGCTCATGAGCCCTTAGTATGAGTATGCCATGCCCTACCTGACCCTCAATTCGTATCTGGAATGCTCCAGGGTTTGTTGGCTATCGCACAAAGCAATACCCAACACAATATGTCGATATATACCAGATAATAAACGTATATAGATCATCATGCAAACATAATCACAAGTAGTCCTACAAATCTACCAGACTAGCATAGCAACAACTAGCATATATATTCCATACTCAGTCTATTAATGAATATCAAATCAATAGGCCGGCCTTGGTGCCTTCGACCAGCAAGTACAGTACAGAAAACTCACCTCGCAAACTGGAAAAAAGATGATGAAGTCTCGACTCCGAATCTCAGCTCCAACCGTCTCCTATTCTAACCATATGACCAATCTCAATCAAAATCCCAAAATACCCAAGGTCAAACTTGGTTAAAGTCAAACTGGTGAAACCAACTAGGTCAACTAAGTGAACCCGGTCAAGTCAACCCAATAGAGTCAACTCGACCGAATCGACTCACGGTGTGTACGTGTGGCATACTTCATTACTCCTAAGGTATGATGCGCGTACACACAGCCTCGCAGGTTGATCACCATCGGGGTGGTTGACCTCATACGCAAGGCGTACTCCAAGTACGCGGGACATATTCTCAAAAGTCGAAAAATTGATTAAGAGCTTAATGGCTAAAGATCTTACGTCCATAATTCCGATCCATGGCTAAAATACTCTTTAGAGTCATAGCATCTCCAATTTTATGACTTATCATGTCCAATAAGTTCTTAATTCATGGTATTATTCCATTAAGAGCTTCTAAATGATGCACAAAGCAAAACCAACCATTTAGAACCCTTTTTTGTGACTTAAGGCCCTCCTACGGTTCTGAAAGGACGAATTAATGGTTCAATCACATGCTTTGTTCAAGAATCATCATTTTTGGGACCAAAAAGATACTTTAAAGAGCAAAACTCTAGATCAACAAGATGGAGTTGAAAACATGCAAGCTTTATACCTTTTTGAGGTTGCAAACAAGCTAAAACTCCCAGATCTCCAATGCACTTTACTCCAAGGTCTTCGCACCACCTTCTTCTTTCTTCAACCCACTCCAAACTCTGTTAATGTCTCACAAATTTGCTTCTATTGCTCTAGGGTTGTTTTGGGCCCCTTCTCACTATTTCTCAACTTGTGGACCAAAATGCAATATACTAAAATCATAAAATCCCAAGATTATAAGCACCTTCAAAATGGGATAAGATTGAATAAGATTTTGAAATCAAAATTAAAACATTCAAATCATAATCTAAGAAAAGACACTAAACATTACAGACGCTTACAACTAGACATAATCTAATTTTGAATCCTAACAGTCACCCCTTTTGTGTTAAGTTGATGTAGTGGTCTTTTCATCTGTCTTTTGCACAGTTTCAAACACCTTCAGAATAATATTCATGAAAGTCTTCTGAATGACTATCCACCACTTAATCATATTGGATATGCACTTTATATCTCCTTCTAAATTTGACTTCTTCGCTTCAGCCTTTGCTACGATTTGATTCAGAATAGAAGTAGAACACAAGTTGTTTATCCCTTAAAAACAACATGCAATGCTTCACCTCTTCTTTCTCCTTCATCTTGTAAGCGATTCCCCATTGTTCATTTTCAGTAAATCCAAATTGAAATTGATCATCTTCATCTAGAACTAGGAATGGTTTCAAAATTGGCATCCGACTGAGAACATTTTCAATTTTAATATCCATTTCTGCAAATTCAAGGATATATTCCTGAATCATTCTTCTCAAAAACTGCAAGATGGGCTTGTACTTCACTGCATGCTTTGAAGCAATATTAAACAATGATATCTAATTTTAAGGATTTAAGAATTGAATATTTGCCAATGAAAGTTCATGCAAAGTTTGATTGTGACTTCTGTAAACCTTCAAACTAACATTTGTAAAACCATCAACTGCAATTGGTTTTCCAACTTTCAATGCTACTATTCTCTACAAGATCCAAGATTCATATTGCGATGTTAAATTCTTCACATATAAAGTGAATAAATTCTTATTTATCCCTTTGTTTGACACAAGAGCTTCTGAATTGAATTAAAACACTGAAACAAGAATGTCTTGGCAGTTATCAGAAAGTCAAACTGACAACCTTTTTCTTTCTTAACTTTAAAGGAAGTATGAGGCTCTAACCAATATAGATTCACATTATCAATGGCTTTTTTTATCTGATATATGGTCCTTTTAGAGAACATATCCTTCTTTGCATCAAGTGCCTCCTTAAAATCCTTTTCTACTCCTTCTTCAGCTTCAATCTTTTCCTTTAACGCAATCCATTAATCAAGCTATTTATCACATTCTTTCCTTTATTCACTTTAATTTCAGAAATTTTCAGATTTAAATTGTCTCCATGTTCCGAATGATGTTTACTTTTCCTTTTCCTAATCTAGAAGATACATTACCCTTCTGACCAATTTTCTCTTCATTCAGATTCTTTAATTTGTGCTTCAAAGTTTGCTTTTGAAGAAAAACTTTTGCTACTTTTGTTTTTGCCATTTTATTAGTCTCATAAGGATTTCTCAAATTAACTTCCAGAATTTGATCATCAACAAGAACATCATTTTCATTAGCTTCTCCTTCTTTTTCCTTATCTCCCCCTTGTTGCGCAGTATCCAAGCTACGCGTATCATCCAAGACTTCATTCAACTTGGAAAGAACTAGCTTCATTCTCCCATCAATCATTTGAGAAGTATAATAAACATAGGGTGCATCTTTAATCTCAACTATTTTAACTAGCCTATTATTGATTTTGAAATTTTGACCCTTAATAAAAAGCAATTGATTATTCACCTTGTGGAGTTCAATCATAGCATGCTTCAGTTACTCCTTTTGAACTTTCACTTTCTAAGTTGATAATGTAAGGGAATCTATAATCTTATTTTCATGAGCAAGATCAGTTTGCAACCTCAAAATTGAGTTTGCAATAGACGTGTGATGATCTGCATTATCACGTTGAAGTCCATAATAAATACTGGAAAGAGCTTCTTTCTCATATTGAAGTGATGAGCGAAATCCTTCAATGACTTTATTAGAAGAAGTTTGAAAATCTGCCATGAAATTTTTCATATTAGAAGTCATCTCCTTAAAATCAGCAACAAATTTATCAATTTTGGCATCAACATGGGTAATCTTTTTAGTTGATTCAACAGCCAACTTCTTTTGATTTTCAAAAATATCATCATTAGATTTAGTAAGCATTTTGATGGCTGCTTGATGAGAAGTTGTCACACCCCGAAAATCAAAGGCGGAAACATTTCCGGGGTGGACTACCACGTTGTGTATCAAATCCAATGTACATAGTAATCACAGTAAACAACCATTACATTACATATATATGAAAGATTACATTTGTTTCAAAAGTAAAGTAATACAAAATATACATATGCATCATATTAACAAAAGTTGAGACGAGTCTTCCACGCACTCCGTTTTCATCAAAAAAGATCACCGGGTACCTGTCTAACTTGGACCTGAGAATACAAGCGATTTGAAAATCAGCATAAAGATGGTGAGTTCATAAGCGGTTTTGTTTTATGAAAATGTATCAATTTCCTTTAGTTTCCGAAAATATTTGTTATCCAAGAAAATCCCATATTTTCTTATGTGAAGTTGGTTTAGTTATCATTTGTTACCAATTCGATTACGTGTTATGTTTTACCCCAGGAAAATCCCATATTTTCCTAATTGTAAGATCAGTTGTATATCACAAAGTATAGTTTAACACACAAAACTATATAATGAAAATCTTGGGATCACTATCCCGAAAGAGATATAAGATAGTTTAACACATATGAAAGTACAGATTTAAGATCATGGGACTATCATCCCGGACTAGACACGAGATAAGTTGATGTATATATGGAAATAAAGATTGAAAACCATGGGATTACTATCCCGGATAAGATACAGATTTGGAAAACCATGGGATCACTATCCCGTATAAGATATAGATACAAAACCATGGGATCACTATCCCGTATAAGATATAGTTAAAGACCATGGGGAAAGACATCCCGCACAAGTTATAGATACAAAACCATGGGATTACTATCCCGTATAAGATATATTTACAAAACCATGGGATCACTATCCCGGACTAGATATAAAATAGTTTGATAATACCATGGGATCACTATCCCGAAAGAGATCTAGAAACAAAACCATGGGATCACTATCCCGTATAAGACATAGATACAAAACCATGGGATCACTATCCCGAAAGATATAGATATAAAACCATGGGATCACTATCCCGAAAGATATAGATATAAAACCATGGGATCACTATCCCGAACGAGATATAGTTTCTAAACCCAAACTGTGAATAAGCTAATTTTAATACATGTTGTGAGTCGGGTAACCATGCTAATACGACAACGTGACCTCCTTGACGTTTGTCAGACGTCGAAACGATATCCAGAAATTTGTCACCCCAGGCGTGCCCGCCTACCTGTAGCTAGCAGTTAAGGTGTGGGATTGTCAGTCCCGAATAGATCTATTCACAAATTCCGCGCTCTCCCTCCAGGAGACTCTGGTTACACTTCCGGGGAGGATTTACTGATCATCCATAAAGGGTAGTGACTATCTCACAAACTAGTACTAAGATATTCACAGGTTTTTCATACGATAACGACATACAGAGGATTATGAAACATAGTACAGTAAATATAGATACATACATGAAATTATCTGACAATACATTCAAATGATACGGAGATAAACTGAATCAGACATAGTTTATCTAATAACTTTATATGGATATCAACATATGATAGAAAGAACAGTAAAGACCCCCAAATTATTCCCATAATAATTTGATTAGTTTGATTGTTTCCTTAACTAAAATTCATTTAGTTGTAATTGATAAATCATTCCTTATGCTCAGTATAATACATAAGGAGTAAAAGAGTTTATAAGTTGGTCAGGTATTGTTTGAAACATATCAATGTTATGATTTGAAAACAGTTATAGTTTGCTTGTATTCCCCCCTGAAAACATTGAAAACAGTGAAAAAGCCGTAGGGGTATGAACTCACCGGACGAGATATGAGACGATTTGGATGCTAAGAGTTGATCCGGAACTTGTAAACACACGAGGTTCCTAATTATGATGTAAAGATACACATTTGTATCTAATTAGGACTTAGATTGATTGTTAGATAGGGACAATTGCTTCAAGTTGCGAAAACACTCCGATACAAGTGCTTGGAGGGACCCGGGTGGCGTTTAGGGACATGAATGATGCGAGGGACTTAGGAAATGAGTTGGGACTTCAAAGGAACACCCCCTTTAGGGAGTTTACGGCCACAAGACCCATTCCCCATGAGTTTACGGCCGTAAACTCATGGTGGGGTCAAATATGGGCAAAAGTGACTTCAAACACTTAGGGGATAATTTCTAGGTTTGGTTCAAAGTCTTGGAATGGATTTTTAACATCAAAATGACACATTTTAGGGAGTTTACGGCCTAGCATGGTCTCATGGCCGTAAACTCCTATAAATCCATGAAAAGTTGTGTTTTTGGATCCCAAACTAATCACATGTGATTGCTAAAATTGTACCAAAGCCTTATATGCATTTGTTTGTAATTAAGAAGGGGTTTTTGGAGTTTACGGCCAATGAGACCCTTCTCATGGCCGTAAAATCTCATAGAGAGTAAATCCTTGTGTTTTAATGCCAAAAACTTGTTTGTAAGGACTTCTAAAATTCAAACCAAGGCCTTAGGGGTGGTTTAAGGGCATTTTGACATGTGAATATGAGTTTACGGCCAAAGGCTATGTGCTTAGGCCGTAACCTCCAATATGTGGTGTGTTTGATGTGTTTAAGGTCTCCAAACCATTTTTAGATGATTCTAGGATTTACCACAAGGACATTGGTTGAGTTTCAGGGCATTTGGACATGTTTTAGGGCACTTAATCCCCCTTTTAGAGGAGTTTACGGCCCAAGCACATACCTTGGCTGTAAACTCTTATTTGTCCCCCAGAAATGGTGTTTCAAGTGTCTAAATGCAATTATCAATGTTCTATAATTCATAACTAAGACATATAAGTGATTTGGAAGGGTTTAAGGGCATGAAAACCCTAGATATATGAGTTTACGACCCAAGAATGATCCTTGGCCGTAAACTCCTTCAAACATCACAAAGTTCATGTTTTAATTATTTGGAGTCCATATCTTGAAGCCATTTAGCCATATCTAAGTCCCAAACTTGTCAAGGAGGGGTTTAAGGGATCAAAAACCCACTTATTGTGAGTTTACGGCCCATGAATGCTCCATGGCCGTAAACTCATGTATGTGGTCACAAATTATGTTTTGAATTCGAATTTGAAGGCTAAGAAGGTTACAATACAAGCTTAGGAATGTACCTTAGAGATTTGAAGCCTTAAATTTGAGTTTTGGACCCTTAAACTTGGATTTAGGAGAGAGGTTAGAGAGAGAGAGAGTAGAGAGAGAAGGAAAAAGCTTCAAATGGATGCTAGAACACGTTTATATAGGTCTTAAAACTTGTACGCGGTGGAATTCTACCCGATACCGGCGTTAAACGCGGTTTTTGGTCGCACCTGATTAAGTTACCGTCACCCGGTGGGGACATTTCTAAAACTTATGAAATAATGATTTTGGGTTAATAACATAAGTTCCTGAGTGATTTAGACACTCATTAAATTAAAATAAACATATAAGTTTAAATAATTAACTCCAAAGAGAAAACGAAGCGAATTTGTTAACGGCGACTTTTCGGGTGGAACGGGTTTTGGCGACGAACAAATTTCGGGTTGTTACATTATCCCCCCGTTAGAGGGAATTTCGTCCCGAAATTCAAAGAATAAGATATAGATCATGAGTTTGAAATGAGACTCGAATGGATTTGCTACTTCGGATCTTCACTTTCTCAAGTGGAATCGGGTCTCTACTGGCGTTCTAGTGAATTCTCACTATCGAAATGTGTCCTTGTTTCGTACCTTGACTCTCTCTCAATCTATGTCATCAATCGGTTTTCTCATGGAAGTTCCAACCCTGGACGACTTCGGTTTCCTCAAGGAATCACTAGGGTTTCGTTGGGTAAATGCTTCTAAGGATTCGAGACATAATGTACCGGATAGATGTTAACAAGCTCTAAGAGCACCCGAACCCTGAAGATTGCAGAATCAATCTCTACGAAGACCTCGAAAAGTATGGCGTGGAACTAAACTTTAGACGTTCGAATGAAATTCCCAGAAACTCTTCGGGACAAACATTTAGTAGAAGGAGCTACTAACTTCTCGTTTCTCAAAGATCACTGAAACGAGGGATGTGGTAATAGTTCATATCAGGAAAACTTTTGAGTTTTATAGCATGAAACAATACGAAGGTTTGATGCCGAAGACCATGAGAGTTAGGTCGAGGAAAAGATATAGACAGGCGACCCTCTCGAAACCAAGATAACAACATGAATGAGACTCAGTCATCCCATGTTAAACGTAGCATCAAAGCATTTTCGTGAAAAGTGTTCCCCTTTTTAGATCGAATGGAACAGATTAGTCCTCTGGACCGAGGATTCAATCTATAGGTACGAAGTTAGTGTTCTCTATTTCACGGGTTAGTCGTCTCGATGATGCACATTTCGATCACATACGAAGGATTGAGCTTAGAAAACGTTCCAATAGATAGATAACAGTTTTCCCTCTAAATACTGGAATCGAAAAGAGTTGCAGGTATAAGAGTTATCAAAGAGAAGTATACCTGCGGCGACAGAGGGATCAGTGGTGGTAGCTGCTTTGGGACAGTTCCTTTTGAAGTGCCCTGTTTCACCACAATTGTAGCAGGCCGGACTGATTCCTGCCCCCGATGATTGGTTCGTTGATTTGGCTGGTTTTCTGCAGGTTCGAGCAAGATGGCCCTTTTTGCCATAGCTGTCGCAGATCCTTTCGCGACATGGACCAGGAATGCGGTGATGGTAGTTGCAGTTACCACACCACGGAAGACTGCCAGTGTATCCACTGGTGGGAGTTTGGGCTGTGGATCCAACAGCTGAGACAGCAACAGGGGCAGTAGCAGCATGGACTGCTATCGTTTGTTGTTTCTTAGAAGACCCTTTCGTACTTGGGGCCTTTCGCTTGTTCTGAGATTTCTTTTTACTTTCACCTCCACTTGTGTCCGATTCAAGAGTGGTATCATCCTCATCAGAGTTGTCTTCGTGATCGATCAAGATTTTCGCAAGGCA